TGCCCCAGGATCTCGAGGAGAGTCAAAACACCCCCTACTTCCAAAAATTCGATCAGGTAACGATGACTGTGAGGGGCAAGAATAGACATAAAGGGAGAAGAAAAAAAAAAGGAAAGGAAAAGGGGAAAAAACAACACATTGTAAACATTTAATTTTTAAAGAAATTTAAATTCTTCCCTTTTACAATAAATACAAAAACGTGTTGGGGAGGATACCGAGCAGCTCAATGGGTAAGGATGTTTGCCCAAATGCAGACTGAGTTTTACGATCAAGGGTTCGAGTCCAGGTGATATCATGTCACTAGCAGAGTGTGACTGAGATTCCCCAAAAGCGTGTTGCACAATTGGCTGGGAGCCGCTGAGGGTAGATGGCCAGGGACCTTTGTGACCGAGTAACCCCTGCAGCCTCCTGTGAAGGACGCGCCTCTCCTCCAATCAACACTGTAATTCTTTCAAGGGGGAGGCGGTTCAAGTGATGTTTTAAAAGATGATTGGCTTGAAAGTGGGCGGGTCATAGGAGCCTGCCTGTATTTCCGCATTTTTCCCCATGTGCGGCTGTAGGGTTTGTAGTTGCCACCCAAGACATGAAAAAAAATACTCTTACTACTGACTATGGGCAGGTTTAACTAAAATGCTTGGTGATTCTAAAATTGATAAAATAAATGCTTACTTTCCAGTTGCAGAGAGGAATACGCCAATAGCCTTTAACTGCAAACGTAAATATGTGCCAATCATGTATCTGTGAAAATTCAGGTTAATGCAGGGGCAATAAATCGTTTTTTTCATCCTTTGCTATCTTTTATTTCCAGTTTGAGATATCCAGCGCGCTGCAACTTTCTATATACTTGCTCAGGTATTTTTAGCCTTTAATGGAGAATACAATGAAAGAATCTGAATTTCATCAGAATGAAGAGGGAAACACGCACCAGACGGGCACAAATCAATATCTATGTGGAAGTGAGATTTAAACCTATGAACGGGAGGCACTACTTTACCCAAAGAGTTATGGGAGTGTGGAACAAGTAAGCTGCTCAGCCATGTTGTTGAAGCCAATACCCTTTTTTTTCTTTCCAGAAACAGCTGGATGAGATCCTCCAGTCAGGATAGGAGGCGTGTCTTTACACAAAGGATTGTGGGAGTATGGAACAAGTTGCCAGGCCATGTTGTTGAAAGCTGTGCTCTAGCTTCTTTCCAAAAATGGCTGGATGAAACCCTTGGATCCATTAACTATTAAAGCTTTATGGACTGAATTGCTGCCACCTTTTGCTGGGAACTTTTTTAATGCCACTGTTGCCTTACATAAGGCCTTACATAAGGCAACAGTGGCATGTTTG